TAGTCTAATGCGCCATTTTAAGAAATAAGTAAGACTTCTTCAAAAAGATGTCTTAAAGACTACTTTTTTGAGACTTCTCTAAAAAGACTTCTTAAAGAAGTCTTTTTTCTAATTTCTTAAAAAAGACGACAATAAGAACTCCCTTTTGAGAATTGAGATTTCGGAAATGATAATTTTATTTAAATACATGTGTATTATAAAAGAAGTTTTATTTGAACTATTATTATAAAGTTTTATTTATACTAAATACATGTATTAAGAAATGAAGGGACATGGGAAAAAATAGAAAGATTAGAGATAGGAGAGGACATAGACTCGGATCATCACCCGGTGATTTGCTGGATAACAGAGGAAGACAGTTGGAAGAAGAAAAGAAAAGCGAGACAGAAAGGCAGGAGAGGGGTATAGAACGAGGAGGGGAGAGAGAAATTTAGGAGGGAAATAGGAGAAATAAATAAAGGGGGGAAGAAGGAGGGACGGAAGAAGAGATAGAGAAAATGAATGAAAGGATAAGGAAGGCCTTGGAAGAAAGCGAGAGGGGGGAAGGAAAGGAAGAGAAAGAAAAGGGGGGTGGTGGGATAAGGAGTGTATAGAGAAAAAGAAGGAAGTAAGGCTTAAGTTGAGGAAATGGAGGAGAGGAGAAGAAGAGAGAGGAAGGTATAGAGAGGAAAAGAGAGAATACAAGGAGATGTGTGAAAGGAAAAAGAAAGAGGAGGGAGAAAGATTAATAAGGGAAGCAGGAGAGGCGAGAACGGAAAGTAAAGTATGGGAGATAGTTAATAGAGAGAGGAGGAAAAGGAAAGGAGTAGAGGAAGGGATACAGATGAAGGAATGGAAGGAGTATTTTATGGGGCTATTAGGAGGAGTAGAGGAAAGAGTTCGGTGAGGAAGAGGGGGCGGTAGAAGAAAGATTCTTAAAGTGGTTACTAGGAGTGGACAAAAGAAAACCAGGATACATGGTAAGGGAGGAATTAAAAAGAGATAAACCTAGAAGTAGGGCGGCAAGAAGAGCATGGAACTTCGAAAAAAGACTAGAAGAAGGGAAAGGAGGTAGTTTAGCGAAGGATTGTTTGGAAGAAATCAAGAAAAGATCAGAAAAGGGTAGAGGAGTTTCGGAATGGGAGAAGGAGAGAGAGAGATATTTCAGAGAAACAGGGCTAGAGGAATTGGCATGGAATAGAGAGGGAGAGGAAGGGATGATAGAGTATGGGGAAGTGGAAAGGAAAGACAAGGAGCTACAGAGGGAGGAAAGAAAAGAAAAAATAGAGGAGTCAAGATTTAATAGATGGTACAAGAGAATAAAGAGTGAGGGGATACCAGAGTATTTAAAAAAGGGTTGGTCGGAGAAAAAGTGGGGAAGGATGACAAGATTTAGGCTAGGCAATGAAATGAGGGAAAGTAGGTATTGGGAAAGTGAAGAGAAAAAAGTATGTAGGGTATGTAATAGAGAGAGAGAGACATGGGAACATGTATGGGAGGGATGCGGGAGAGGAGAAGGAGAGGGGGAGGAAAGTTGGCAAGAGGCGGTGGAAAGAATATTAAGAGAGGAAGGGAAGGGGGAAGAATGGATGAAGGAAGTATTGAGGAGAAGGGGGGATAGGGCAGAGGGGAGGAGCGGGGAGGAAGAGAAGGAGTGAAAGAATGAGAGAAAAGAGGGGTGAATGAATACAGGAGAACGGAGGAAGGAAAGAGTAAGAGGAGTGAGAGAGAGGGTGAGAGAAAGGGGGTGAGATAAAAAGATGGAAGGTGGGAAGAATGAGAGAGAATGAAGGAGGGAGCAAGGAAAGAGGAGAAAATGTGAAGTAGATTATTAAAAACCGGATGCGGAGGTCCAAAATAGACTAAGATGGTTTAGGAATTTAGCGTGTGTGTGTGTATAGGCAGGAAGGAAAGATAGAATAAGGATAGCATAAGTTAGTTTAAGTAGTTTAAATAGTACCTTGTGTTTTTTTTCAATGTATCGAACGCGATCACCGGCATGCTGAAGCCAGCTTTGGATTGTAAATAGTTTAGACCTCATGTATAGTGCAAGCCCCTGAAGCGATCATGGCTTCTGAAATGATAATTAAGCTGTTTAAACACCTTTGGATATTTATAGTAATGATAAAAAGATAGGGTGACCAAGCTATAGTGATTAAACGGTTTAACCAATCAGTTAACAAAAAGTTTTCATTTTCTAATAATGGAGAAATTTAAAAAATTGCAATCAATATTTAAAAAATTATTACTTAAATTAACCATTTTCATCATGTGATTATGATGAAAATTTTTGATTACATGCTTACATTAAAATAATGCTCATCCACTGGTCGTGTTCATTCACAGGTCACGCTAATATGAATTACAAATTAGCGGTTTGATTCAAAATTTATTTACCTATGAGAACATCCACAAATTTCATATCTTTGACTCCGATCGTTTTTTTTTGGTCTGTCCACGACAGTTCGCATGCCAAATCGTCGTTTAATATGGTGATTAGTATTTGACGGACATGTTTCTTAACGTCTTTGCCGCCCCTAATCTGAATCATCTTTTTCTGAAAAAATATTGTTCAAGTAATACACGAATAATAAATAAAATAATAAGTAAATAATAAAATAAATTAAATCAAAATTTTTGGCTAAATTTGTAGAAAAAAATGTGCGCGCGTGCGTGCGTGCGTGCGTGCGTGAGTGAGTGAGTGAGTGGAAGTGTGCGCGTGTGTGTGCGCGCGCTGGTATCAGAAACGTTACTAAAAAAGATCTTTTAATTTTTTTTTGCAAGCTGCGACAAGGACTGTCTGACGAATTTCTTAAAGTACTGTTTCAGTATTACTCTAAAAAGCAGTGAGTTTAGCGATTTCCAAAGTTCGGCAGTCTTTAGAAAACAGATTTGTCCCTGATAATATTGGTTTTTTCAAGCTATAACTCGAGAAGAGTGTAACAATGCACCCCCCATTCTGACACATTGTTACCCGGCAGTAGACCGCCGGAAGTCTGCCGCCCGGCGAACATCGGCCGGGCAGGGGCAGAGGCGCCGAGCGCCCATTTTTTAAACATTAAACACCGCATCGGCGGCCGGGTACGGTACAGTAACGATGGGGGAATGCATCGTTACAATATATATGTCTATATATTCTTGTTACAAGGATAAATATATAAACTGTCTCTCCTTTCTTTCTGGATTTAAGAGTTTTATTAATCAAATAAAGAAAAAACTCCAAGAATGATTTCTCAAATTAGAGATTTTCTAGCGACTATATAGCGACATAGCTTCTATAATATATCATTATTCTTTCCTTAGTGGAAAGACAAAAACGGTCATCGCGAGCTGCTATTAAATGTTTGCGGAATCGTCGCAATAGGCGGCTTAAGAAGGAATTGGCTCGTGCGTCCGCAAATTAATAATTTTTCTATCCTCATCATTCTACTCACACTTTTATTTCATGTAATTTTTCTAAAACTACTTACTGTAAATTTCCGGAATTTAAATTTTAGTTTCCCCGCTCAATTCCGGTTGATGTCCTCCGTATTTTTGTAACACCCGCGAGAACTCAATTTTCATCCACATACACACATTTACACACAACCATATTAGATCTTAAGCAAGTTTATTTTATAATAACAGTTTTTTAAATTGAATTAAATGATTCATTATTAAATTCTATCTTTTAAAATTATTCGTTTTTATTTTTGAATAAATGTAAAGTTAAATTTTAAAATTCGAGCAATTTATTAACCCGACCTCCTTCCTGTTAACCGAAATCGCACAAGGTCCCGTCCCGGGTAATAAGGATTCAGTTCCTTTACCAGAAAAGGGACCACCGAGCGAACGGCCTTTCGATAGAGTAAGAGCGACCCTTCCGGTCGTTGACCTATCTGGGGCCCTGGTCTGTTCGTTCGACTCTAGGACACGCATCGTCTAGCGTTTGTCTAAAGGTAAGTAGGTTACGCCTTCCGCTGACTCTTCCTTTATTTGAGTCTGGACGTAACAATAGCTTGTTGCTCCTTTGACATTCAATAAAAGGATACGCAAGTGGAATGATTCGATTTCAGTTGGACTAACTGAATACATGCGTCCGATGCAGTTAAATTTACACTGATGTTTTTCCCAATGATTAACTTGTTTTCAGTCAAGACTTATTCTTTTGAATACATAATATAAAGGTATATCTGTATATATGTACTGGCGCGCATCAACATCTCGTTTATTTAAATCAAAATAGTCCATCAACATTGTTATACGTTCTAAAGCAGATCGTAAATCTTGTCCGTTTGAATGATTAGAGATAATTACATTTTGTTCGTTTAGCAAATGTACAGGTAGACGAATAATAGCATGACTTTTCTCTTGCAATGTTTTACCTGCAATGCGCCAGCAAGCCTCAACTGGTCCTACATAACGTGCTTCGATAAAATCCTTAATTTCGTCATGAACAATCTCTATATTATTCACATTTTCTCCTATGACTACAGATGCTCCATCGTGATCTTTGTAAATATATTTGTATAAATACTTCACCGACTTGATACTTGCAACAATTTCAACATTAATATGACAATTAAAAATCGTTGATAATATTGGACAATAAGGAACGACAAATCGATTATCTACTACAAATCCTCCGGGTTTCTCATACAAAATGTTAGTGTCTCTTCGACGATATTGTGGATAATCATTTTCATCCATAGTTGTTTCCTCATGAAAGAGTTTTGGAAAATGTTTTGAACATTTTCCATTTAGTAATTTCAAGTCAATTGCGATTGCAAGTCATTGTAATAGAAACATCTGGTTCACCATATTTGCGAACAATAGCCATCGCATCTTGATAATTTTGCATCATATTTCGAGGTGAACCAATAAATGTTGATGGAAGAATCATCACTCGTCCAATACGAGCATCAGTGTCAGTCGCTACTTTTTCTAGATAATCGATCAGTCCTTGATGTTTTTCCACTCTCAACTGTTTTTGATTTTTTTTGCACCAATTAATTCTGTCTTTTTCTATTTTCACATAGTTGTCAACAAGCCATTGTTGAAATAGTCTTACCCATTAAAAAAACATTGACATTATCACGTACAGCCTTTCGATATTGAACGTACATGGATCTAGTCACACGTTTTTCGTTGATTTGTTTAATATCATCGTGCCAACCTTGCGTACCGTGCGGATAGTACATTGGATAAATCCAAGGTTCAACATTTGGATCCATTGTACTAACATATTTTAAAGTTTTATCACGTTTGTTTCTAATTGTAACATAACAATTAGGAATATCTCCATCTGCGGTAATTGAAAAAATTGCAGCAACTTCGTTGGTTTTTTGAACATTATATCTTCCGCGATCAATACCTGTTTTCTTATTTAAGAATCCCATTTTTAAATCAGGCACATTTGAACCTGAACTTTCTTGATTGCGAACTTCTTCATGCATCATTTGATATGACTGAGCAAATATATTGTTGCTGCGGATAATATCATCTAACATATGCAATAACTCTTCATCGAGATTTGAATTTGCATTTAAACGACATTCTGTAGCTTCGTTAGCGTCAAGAATAAAAAGCTGTCCATAACTTGACTGTTCATTTGTAGCAGGATATAATGCAGTGTTAATTTGATAATAAATTTGACCTTGAATTTTGAAACAATATGGTCCTCGTCTTTGTGCATTGAAATTAACCAAGTTAGCATTGAAAGATGCAAAAGAAAATGCACTATTGTAACCTCGTAGATTTTTTAAAAACTCTTTAGATTTCTGATGATTTCCAGAAAATAACTGTTGTAGTTCATTAGGAAGTGGTAGTAGAGGCTCCAATATAACTTTTCCATGACTACAACAATCGTTGAATGAGTTACCTTTATTGTGAACTTTTTCAGCTTGAAAATGCTTCGATCTACAATGTTGGCATTCTACATCCATTTTTCCAATATAATGTTGATTTAAATTATGATAGTCTATGTTTTGAAATCCTTTGTAATTGGCTCGGTAATTTTGTACTCTTCTTTTGTTTAAATCTGTGATATTGTGTGTTTTCAATAATTGTTCATTATCAGTTCTGGAAATATTATCATTTACATTCACTGAAATTGACTGACTTGTTTCTGTAGTATTTTCAACGACATTCGCAAGTACTTCGTCGACGGTTGACAGTCTTTTAATTATATTAACATTATTATTATCAAATCTTGAACTCGGAGTTGTCAAAGCACTGTTACTCTGTAACTTTGACATGCAGTTGTTGACTGTTGTAACAGAACTGCTCAAAGTCGACGTTGTAATAATAAGTTTCATTACTGATGAAACGCAAACATTTTTTACGACCAAAGGACTTGGTGATTCAGACACTACAACTGATAGACTATTATTTAACAGATTTCTTGATTTGCAAATTTTAGATGGTCCAGCTATATTGTTTGCTGCATTTCCTTTCTTTTTATCGCGGTATTTTTGTTGATTTAGAGCTATTCGTTCCCTTTTCAATCGCTGAAATTCTTCCTCTTCATCTTGAGTACGAACAGCTTTTCGTCTACCCATTTTCAATTATTGCTAACTTAATCTTTTTTGTTAAATTAAATTTTGCTTTTATTCAATAGAATATATACACAAATCAATAAAATTTAAACACTGTTACTCTGTAACTTTGACATGCAGTTGTTGACTGTTGTAACAGAACTGCTCAAAGTCGACGTTGTAATAATAAGTTTCATTACTGATGAAACGCAAACATTTTTTACGACCAAAGGACTTGGTGATTCAGACACTACAACTGATAGACTATTATTTAACAGATTTCTTGATTTGCAAATTTTAGATGGTCCAACTATATTGTTCGCTGCATTTTCTTTCTTTTTATTGCGGTATTTTTGTTGATTTAGAGGTATTCGTTCCCTTTTCAATTGCTGAAATTCTTCCTCTTCATCTTGAGTACGAACAGCTTTTTGTCTACCCATTTTCAATTATTGCTAACTTAATCTTTTTTGTTAAATTAAATTTTGCTTTTATTCAATAGAATATATACACAAATCAATAAAATTTAAATATTAAAATGTAACAAATATAAATAAACAAACAAAATTTCTGTTTATAATAATATAGATATTATTAATTTGTGGCTTAATAAATCAAACAACAGAATATTATATAATGTTGAATTTTATTTAAATAAAAATATCACAATGATAGCTTAAAATCGAATATTAAAATATTACATAAAATAATTATTTTGATTTTACACAGTTGCCAAATTATAAATTTGAATATTACAATTACGTCAGATATCAGTCCAATAATAAATAACAATAATAAGTAACAATATGTAATATTAATTACTGTAATTAATAACTATAACAATATGTAATATTAATTTAACGTTCAATCACCCCCCTCCCCCTCTTAGACGGTGTGGGCGCCGAATCGGGTGGTGGTTCGGCGTAGCCTGCTGCTCCGTAGCGTTCCGTCGGCATTGAACCTGAGGGTCCATTGGCCTTCCGGGGTCCACTGCCGGTGACGCCTCGAGACATGGACCGCTCGGTGTGGTACGCGGAGGACGGTTCCAGCTGCGACCTTGACCGTGATGGCTTCCGGGGGGCGAGTTCCTACCGCGTGGAACGGTCGGGTTGTTGTCGGGCTGGTCCTCGGTGGCGGTGCTGCTGGCGCGTTGACCGGTCGTCGGTCGACGGCGAGGCGTCTCGGCGCGGTTGCTCCCGTTGAGACTGCATACGCGGCTGGTGTGGGCCGGGTCGGACGGGTCGCCCTGGGCCTCGGTGGCGGGGTTCCTCGCCCTTTGCCTCGGCGCCGATCCGGTGCTGGTGGCGGCGGCGTCATCAGGAGAACGACCTTTCTCCTTTGGTCCGCGTCGGACCGCTGAATGGCGGTTCCAACCCGCGGGGGGGGGGTCGTCGGGGCGGATCGGGCATCCGGGTTGCCTCGCTCCGCGGTGGTGTGACGGGCGTCGGTCCGGCCCGTCCGGAAGGTCCTCGTCTTTCGACCAGCTCCCGAACAGCTCTTCGAGCTGTCTTCGCTCGGTTTCGGTCGGCATGTTTGCTGCGGACTGACTAACTTTTCGCTTTCTCGGCGCGTGGGCTTTTATACGCCTATCGGAAATGTCTGGAATGCGGCGAGCTTTGTTTTTGTGGGTCGCGGCGCGTTGGTTTTGCGGGTCGCGGCGCGTTGTCGGGCTGGTTGTGCCGTCGGTCGTGCGTTTCTGGGGCTCGGACGCCCATGCTCGGTAATCGCGCGGTTCCCGGGCGTGGTTCGCGCGTACCGACGTTCGCGGGCGGTACTCGCGTCTTTACCGGCCGTTGTTGGAGTTTTCTGCGTATACCGACGCTCGCGCTCGGTAATCGCGGCGTTCCTTGCGTACCGACGTGGATTACCGATACGGGCCGGTGTTTGTACCGACGCGAGTTGTTGGTAAGGGCCGGTGTTAGGCTGGCGCAGGTTGCCAGGGGCCGGTCGTGGTTCGGCGGATCGTCGTCGTTGTGGGGCGAATCCGGGTGCGCCTTCAGGTCCTGGATGTGGACGTGCCGGTGCCAGCGCCCGCGTCGATCCCGGAGGTCAACGATGACGGGCGAGATTATCCTGCGTACTTCCAGGGTCCCTACGAACTTTGGAGCCAGTTTGGCGTTGAACGCCTGCGCCTTGTTGGATAGGATGTGGTTCTTTTTCCACACCAACTCTCCGACCTTTGGCTTCCACTCTCGTCGTCGGAGATTTTAGTGCCGCTCCTGATGTTGGACGGCACGGGCCAGGCTTATCCTCACGAGTTCGTAGGCCTCGTGCAGGTGTCGGTGCGTCGTTTTTTGTGCTGGGGCGTCCCTTGGGCGCCGTCGGTCTTCGTAGTGTGGTCTGGCGAGTTCCCTGCCGTGGTTCAGGTAGGCGGGAGTGTGTCCTGTGGCCTCGCTCCAGGCGGTGTTAAACGCGTATTGGAGAGCAGTGATGTGCTCGTCCCACGTTTTCTGGCTTCTGCCCACGTACTGGGCGATCATCGTCTTGATGGTCCTGTTGGCCCGCTCCACCGGATTAAACTGCGGCGTGTATGGTGGTGACATACGATGCCGTATCCCGAAGGCGGTCAGCATCTTCTCCAGTTGGTTGGACTTGAGTTGGGTCCCGTTATCTGAGATGACCCATTGCGGACAACCATGGCGGTATATAACCTGGTCGACGAATGCCCTGGTGACGTTGGTTGCGGTGGCCTTTCTCAGTGGCGTGACCTCGAGCCATTTTGTAAACCGGTCCTGCATCGTGAGGAGCCATGTGTGCCCGCGGTTGGAGCGAGGTAGTGGTCCAACCAGGTCGATGGAGACCTGCTGCCATGGTGCCGTGACCGGCGCTGTGTGGAGCGTCCCGGCGGGTCGCTGTTGCGATACCTTGTGGGCCAGACAGGTCGCACAATTGCGGACGTATCGGGCGATTTCCCGAAGCATCCCTGGCCAGTAATATTGCTGGGCGATGCGAGCCATGGTCTTGGCAGTACCCAGGTGTCCGGCGGCGGGATCGTCGTGCCACCGTCGCAGTAGGGCGGCGCGTTCAGGTGTCGGTACGCATTGCTTCCACTGCTCCTCCGCGGACATCTCCCGGAAGTCCAGGTCGGCCATGTGTGTCCGCGGTTGGAGCGAGGTAGTGGTCCAACCAGGTCGATGGAGACCTGCTGCCATGGTGCCGTGACCGGCGCTGTGTGGAGCGTCCCGGCGGGTCGCTGTTGCGACACCTTGTGGGCCAGACAGGTCGCACAATTGCGGACGTATCGGGCGATTTCCCGAAGCATCCCTGGCCAGTAATATTGCTGGGCGATGCGAGCCATGGTTTTGGCGGTCCCTACCTAGGGACACCTGTCCGGCGGCGGGATCGTCGTGCCACCGTCGCAGTAGGGCGGCGCGTTCAGGTGTCGGTACGCATTGCTTCCACTGCTCCTCCGCGGACATCTCCCGGAAGTCCAGGTCGTAGAATATATGCCGATAGAGGCGCCCGTCGCGTATCTGATAGTCCGGCCGGTCGGTTGGTCGGGTCCGTACGTCTTGCTCGATCCGGCGATACCAGATGCAGGGCGGCGTTTGTCGTGCCGCAGCGGCCTCGGGCTGGCGCGAGAGAGCATCCGCCACTTGATTCTAGGACCCTCGCCGGTATTTGATCTCAAAACCGTGCTGTTGAAGCTCGAAAAGCCAACGGGCCAGACGACCGGACGGAGCCTCCAGGCGTTGAAGCCACCGGAGGGACTGGTGGTCGGTGAGCACGGTGAACCGGTATCCCTCTAAGTAGTCCCGCATCCGGCGGATTCCCCAGATTACGGAGAGGCTCTCCAACTCGGTTGCGCTGTAGTTCCGCTCCGCATGGTTGAGCGTGCTTTTGGAGTACTCGATAACCCGTCGTTCTCCATCGGCTAGTTGCTGCGTGAGGACGGCTCCCAAGCCGAGCGTGCTGGCGTCAATCTGCAGGGTGAACGGCAGTGTGTAATCGGGACACGCGAATACCGGGGCGGCAGTTAAGGCGTCCTTAAGGGCTTGGAAGGCCTGGTTTTCGACGGCGGTCCAGGTCCAGCAAGCGTTCTTGCTTGTCAGGTGCGTGAGAGGCAGTGATGCCAGAATTGAGACGCGAGCAACATGCAACCGAGGTGGAGGGGATAACACACACAAGCGCAAACTGCGTACGTGTGAGCTCGGTGCTTCGGCTAGATTCGGATAGCAGAAAAGGACAGATATACTGTTTTCTGTCTCTCTTCTTCCTATCGAGCCGGCAACTATAGCGACGGGCGTACGGGCGACAGCGACGGGCGATGTTGCTCGCTTCTTGATTCTTGATATACATGAGCGTTAAATGTTTTTTTTTACAGCCTTTTCATGTCATATAATAAATGTTTTTTCCAACTTTCCTTCCTACATTATATATTAAATGATTTCTCACGCTTTCGATATTATATATTTATATTAGAGTTATAAGAGAAAATTCATTATTACATTAAAACAATATTGCTTTAATTAATTTTTTTTT